TTTAATCCTTCACTGGTTGTTGTTGCATCAGTGTAAGAGTCTTGAATATCAGCGTTTGGTCCAACCATGATAGTACCATCAACTGTTGGAATAATAAGAGTACCTTTTGTTACTCCTGTTGGACATGGGAAAATAACATGTTTAACCATTCCTTGTAACTTTCTATCTAACAAATATTCTTCTCCTTTTCTTGCTGTAATATGGAAATCAGCTGGATATAACATTTCTGAGACTTGTGAAGCAAAAACACCAGCACAATTTAATAAAACTTTAGCAATAAACTTCTTTCCATTTTCACAAACAACTTCATATCCATTATCAATCTTCTTAATTCCATTAACAGTAGTAGATGTATAGATATGAACACCATTAGCCTTAGCAGTAAGACAAGTAGCAATAGTAAATTCATAAGGATCAAGAACAGAAGTAGTTGGACAATAAATAGCTTTCTTGATATTTTCACTGAGATTTGGTTCTTCTTTATGAATTTTTTCATAATCCCATAACTCAACTGGAACATTTTTAGTTTTAGCAATTTCCATATATTTATTTAAATTGGGTATTTCTTCATCAGTTTTAGCAACCATCAACTCTCCACAAGTAGTAAGACCAAAGTTAAGTTTTGGTTGAAGTTCATGGATAAGAGTATTTCCTCTTACTACAAGTCTTCCTTTCAATGTTTCTAATGTAGTATCAATACCACAATGAACAATACCAGAATTAGCAGAAGTAGCTCCAGTAGAAACATCTCTAGCCTTTTCTAACAAGGCAATCTTAAGGTTCTTGTATTTAGACAATTCCATTGCACAACAAGCACCAGTGCAACCAGCTCCAATAATGACAATATCATAATGACTTGATTGTGACATATGAAAAAATAATAGTGAATAACTTTATATTATATCAATTCTAAATGATTTTTAAAACAAACAAGAAAGAGAGTGATATTCTTAATTATTCTTTGTAAAGTGATTTGAATTCTTTCTGGTATACAGAATTAGTTGTTTGTTGAGGACCCCAATCAGTATGATCTTTCTCTTTAAAATGACCAAATTGATTGGATACTAACAATGTTTCTTCAAACCATTTTGGAGGTGTGTTAAAATGAGTATGTCCATAAACCCAAAGATTAACTCCTTTCATCAAATCTTCATCATTACTTCTAAACAGACTGAATAGAGAGTCTTTTTTTGGAGACAATGACGTTGTTGGACAATGATGAGAAAATACAATTTTGTGTTGGGCTTTAGAGTTGTGTATTTTTTCTTTTAACCAATTTCTACAAATGGTGTGAGCATGGTTATAAAGTTCAAATGAAAGTGGAGTAGAGGTGTTGTATTTAATCTTATCAAAATCTACTGCTTTATTTAATAAGTATTGTTTGTCATTGATATCTAATTCACTCCATAACGTAGTAAAGAATATCTCTGTTGAATTTATTAGTATGCTAGAGTTGTTTACATAATGAACATTTGAACGGATATTTTCATTCCAACCATTCAGTAATTGTTCTAAATTGGTTATGCCAAAACAATCATGATTACCATAAAGAATGTATGTTTGTTCATAATTCAAACTGCACCAATCAAAAAACCATTGAACATTATTTAAAGAATCATGGTCACACAAATCACCACCAATAACAAGGTATTTAGCCATGACATCAATTGGGTGTGACTGGAAATATTCAGAGCAAAAAGGTTCATCAAGGTGTAAATCAGAGATAAATTGTATATTTTCCATCAAATGAAGATATAAGAAAATAATGTATCAGAAGAAAATACAAGAATGAAAGCATTAAATTATAATAAAAAATTATAAAAATATTAGAAAAAAAGAAAAAAAGAAACCCTTTACCAGAACTAACCCATTTTTATATTGATGTCAGCAACTGTTAAAGCCACTGGTAAAACTCAAAAGAAACATACTGAGGCTCTTAAGAGTGTTCAAGTTTTCGGAAAGAAAAAGACTGCCATTGCTGTTTGTCTTTGCAAAGAAGGAAAAGGTATGATTAGAGTTAATGGTGTTCCACTCGATCTCATCAACCCACCAGTATTAAGAATTAAAGTATTTGAACCATTATTCATTGTTGGAAAAGAAAACTACGCTAAATTAGACCTTAAGATTAGAGTCACTGGTGGTGGACAAGTTGCACAAGCATATGCCATTAGACAAGCCATTGCTAAAGCTCTTATTGCATACAACCAAAAGTTTGTTGATGAAACTACAAAGAATGAACTTAAAGCAAAATTCCTTGAATATGATAGAACTCTCCTTGTTGCTGATCCAAGAAGATGTGAAGCTAAGAAATTCGGAGGACCAGGAGCTCGTGCTAAATACCAAAAATCATACAGATGAGATTGTCCAATTGAGTATGGTGGTTAGTGTTTATTCTATTTTGATTTAATGGTTTCTTTTCTTACAAAGAGAAGTAAATAAACTGCATATGAACATATCTGTTTTAAAATATTTTTTTTATAATATTCATGTATTCAATCATAATTCACAAAAAATGTGTTTTACATTAAATCTCTAATAACAAAATATTTTATTCATTTTGATGATTAATTTAAAATAGTATTTTGGATTTAGTCAATATAAAATTAGAAATTATGAAACAAAAATTCTTAATTAATTCAAGGTATTGAGTAAATAAAAATTACTGAAATAGTAGTAGTTAAGATGATACTAACAACTATTTCAAACAATATTTCGTCATCAAATAATTAAGATAAGACAAATTAAAGATAAGGTAAAATAATAAAAAATAATTATTTTATTTTTTCATGAATTAAGCTAACTTAAAAGAAAATTAAAAACTTGATTAAACAATGACTCTAAGAGGAAAATAAAAACGAATAGAAGTTTTTATCATTTTATTATAAATGAGTTTATATCACTTTATTTTTGTGGTTTCAAATCAAAAAAACACTTGGTAGTGTTTTTGCGTTATATAAAACACAATAATAGTGAGTCTTACAATAATGGTAAAAAGAAAAATGTTAAGATAAAAAGTTATCAGGGAAGAAGAGTTTCGAAAGGTTTTAATTAAAAATCAACATTAGAACGAAAAGAAGTCAAGGAAAAATTAAAAATCAATCCTGAAGAAATAGGTGAAAAAAGAGGAAATATATACAGAACTTAAAAAGAGAATAAAAAAGGATATGAAATAATAAGAATCAAAAATCAAAAGAAAAAGAAGGATAGTAAGAAGTAAAAAATCAGGAAAGAAAGGAAACTAAAAAAGAAAAATAAAAAATAAAAATAAAAAAAAGATAAATGTTAAAAAAAAAAAATAATAAGATAAGTAGGTATTTAAGAAAGAACTAATAACTGAAAATTATAATTTCATGAACGCATTTATTCTCCTCTTCATTGCACTTGCTACTGCTGAAGATATATACTCTCCATTTAAAAGAAGTTGTGTAATTCAAAATAGAATTAATACTATTACTGCCCAAACTAAGGCTATTCATAATAAAATAAGAGCTGATGAACAACAAGAGAGAAATCTTAATGATTCACTCTATTACCTTTATAGAGATCTTAAATATGCTACCGTTGCTGAAGATAGAGCAAGACTTGAACTTGAAATTGAGGCTATTCAAAAGAAACTTCATTCAGTTAGAATTCATAAAGTTAATATGTTGAGAGATATTAGAAAGGAAACTGATAAAATTACTGCTCCATTCAGAGATAGCATTGCTAGAAGTAATAAGATTGAAAGACATGTTGGACTTGAAGATGAAGGAAACTTTGTTGATGAAAGATTAAAAACACAAGCTACTATTAAGAAAGTTACTTCACAACTTGCAAACAAATATGCTACACTTGCTGCTAAAATTGCTGCACAATCTAATGTTGCTAAAGCCGCTAAAAAGTTCAACAATGATGCTGCTAAGGTTCAAGCCTTTGTTGCTAAAAAAGCTGAAGCTGCTTACACTAAAGTTCATTCAAAGATTGTTAAAGCCATTTCAGCTGCTGTTGAAAATGGTGTTGCTAGAAATAATGTTGAGACTGTTGCTAAAACTGCCATTGAACAAATTGTTGATAAACTTATGATGAAAGTTGCTGCACAACCATCAGTTGAAGCTGCTGATAAAGTTGCACAAAATATTGTTAAGTCACAACTTAAACAAATTAAAAAAGCTGTTAAAGTTACTCCAAAGAAAGTAGTTAAGAAACCAGTTAAAAAGGCTGTTGCTAAGAAGGTAGTTAAGAAAGCTGCTCCAAAGCCTGCTGCCAAAAAGATCGCTAAGAAATAAGGTAATACATACTGAGTTAATTTAGCACTGTTGCTTATTCAATTAATTTTTCACTAATTTTTTTTTGCTGTTGTACTTTTATCAAATTTTTTTTGTTAGTTAATTTGAAGTATTCATTTTTGTTTAATCATTTTTTAATTTAATACAACAAAATGAATCAATTAAAGTTTTTGTTGTTTAAGTTCAGCAAATTTATGATGTAATTAGCTTATTGTTTGGTTATAATCACTATTTTGTTATAATCGTTTATTAACTTCTGTTAGTCCAATTTTATTTTTGTTGTTTTTTTAGTTAAGTTATTTATATTCTTTTTTACAAATAATTTAATAGTTTATGCTTTATTTGGTATTTATTTTTAAAATTTTGGGTTACTTTATTATTTGGACTTTGATAATTATTTTGATTCTTTTATTTTCTTTTACCCTACTCTTTTTATTCATTCTATATTCGTGTTTTTTTTATAACAATTATTGTTAAAGTTATTCTCTTTGTTTTATACTTTTATATTTTTTATTGTATTTATGAATATGTATTGGTTCATGGCTAAAGTAACGTTCACTTCTTATTAATTATTGGGTTTGATGTATTTATATTATCTTTTACTTAATCAGTTTAATTCATTGTTTATGTTTTAATCAGTACAGATATTTACTTCAATGGTATTATTTTAAGCAACTACTCAAATGAATTGTTGTAATGTTTTTACTTGTTAAAAATAAGTGCCAAAGAATTAATTTATTATTTCAAATATGCTAAAACTATTTAGACATTTGTTCATTTGTGTAGTTAAAATGATGCTAAATTATCTGTATGGTGACTCTATATTTCAATTCTATTTTGACAATTAGCATCATTTATTTTCATTAAACAACATTTTTATCATATTATATGATAATAAAGAGCATAAGAAAAACGTCTTGGTTATTGAATAGTATCAAGAATTAATAAATTATTGGTTTTATATATAGTTTAAAGGAATTTGTTAATTATGTCAATTCAATAGTATTGACAATAATATTCTGTCATGCAAGTTAAATAATTATTTTCAAAATTAATATATTGGGACTAATAACTGAGATTAATAATCAATAAAATATTATTACATACTAATAAGATTATCGAAGATAATTCTGTACATACTCATTTAGTAACATATTTTATTTGAAGAAAAGTCAAATAGTTTTATGTTCTTAAGTGCAATTACTTAAAAAGATAGAATTTATACAGAAAAAAATGTAAAAAAAAAACTATGAAAATAGAATTATCTAATTCATTAAAGAAAGAAATAAAATAAACAAACAAGTAATAGTAAAAAGTCCTAGAGTGGAGTGTAAACTGTATCAAATAAGAAGATTACAAAAAAAGAAATAATAAGGTTAAAATACTTTTACAATAACCATTAATTTCGATGATTAATGACACCAAGTAATTGGGTCATTTCCCTCATTTCTATTTTTGAAAATATTATATAAACTAATATCAGTATTATATTTTATATTTTTGGTGATGAGTGAATAAAGATTTTCATTCGAGACAAAAACATACTATTGAATTAATATTATATTTGGTTCATAAATAATTACTATCCTTAATTCCATATTTATACTTTCGATAATTCGAAATTGTTGAAGTTTTAGAAGTGGAGATTTTTAATTCAGCAAACATAAAAGGAATAAAAATAAAATCTTTATGACTTTTTAATTAACAATTCTACAATACAAAATAATAATTACGTGGTTACTTATGTTGTTGATGTTGAGAACTAAATTTACTAAGAAATATGATTCATAGTCCTTTTATTAAAATACCACTAACAATAGATGAAGATGGTTCTTATGTCATATTAGATAATAGTGATGAGGTAGTAAAAAAAGAACAACTTGTAGCAAAAAGAGAATCACAAAATAGAGTTGTAATTCAACAAATGTTTCTAGTTGCAGTATTAAATAATATTGGATTTGATATTGTATTAAATAAGCCACATAAACGAAGTACTACAACAATGCAATATTTTCCTATTTCAAAAATTAGTCGAGGACAACAAGTAATTTGGGATGTAGAACAAGAAGATTTGAAAGATAAGTCATCTAAAGAAAAAAAAACATATTTAGATACAATGACAAATAATTTAATGATTTTGTTATTAAAACAAAATAATATATTCTTAAAGGAGAGAAGTACAAGAAAAGGTACTAAAGAAGATTATATTCAAATGAAACGAATTGAATCAATTGCAATTGGAAATGGTGTTATTAACTTAATTCAAAGTAATGAATTTGGAAAAAGAATTTATAGTAAAATACAAAATAGAATGCAAAAAGATGGGTTAACTCTTTATCATTTTGATAAAGAAATAACGAATTTATTATATTCTTCTATATGTTTGTTTTCTTCAATTGAACCATTATTTAAGCAATTTATTTATTCGTCTTACAAATATGAAAATTCTAATTCTTCTTGTATTTATAAGAATTTAATTTAATATCCTTTTTTAGATAGAAGGTTATTTAAGGTTATTAATTATCTGGAACAAATAGAAATAAGTAAATTATCTTTTAAATTATTATCAAAGACTATGAGTTCAATTTTATTTCTTTATTAACTTCATTATTTCATTTTGTTATTTATCATTTTTTATAAGGGTTATAATTGTATTGTGTTGGTTGTGTTAAATTACCTTGACTTGTTTGAGGTGGTTGATAAATTGTTTGAGGTTGATATGAAACGCTTGGGACATATGTTGATGTATATTCTCCTCCATAATTTTTTGGTTGAGGAACAATTCCACTTGCAATTGGAGTATATGGATGATATTGTGATGACATTGAATAGCTATTATATGAAGGAAGAACAGAATTATATTGATATGGCGCATACCTTCGTTCTTTTTCTTCGAGAAATTTATCATATCCATTATATTCGCCACGCCTATTATCAAACCTACTACTTTCTCGCTTAGAAAAAATATTACCTCTCCTATCTATACCTTTAATTCCACCTCTTCTTCTCTCTCTCTCCCATTCTCTATCTCTTTCACTTCTCCTTCTTTCATCGTCCCTAGCCTTTCTTTTATGGTCTTTATCTGCAATTTTAACAGACATCGTTGGTCCATTATCAAATGGATTAGTGCAATTTAACTGATTTTTTGCGCGTTTTGCTTCTTCAAAAGTAGAATACTTAACAAAGACTGTGTGTGTTTTATACTGATCTCTTTTTGCTAAGATAGTAACTATTTCAACTTTTCCATATTTTCCAAACTCTTCTCTAATTCTTGTTTCATCTGCACACTCAGGAACTCCCACTACATAGAGAGTTGTATTTTCTTCTTCTCGTGACATAAATGAATTATAAGTTATTTTTTTTATAATTTCATCATTTATTATAATTTAACAATTAAAAAACTATATAAATTATTTTGTTTTTTCACAAAACCTATTTTGTTAATAATAATGTTATTAAATTAATAACTTAATTTCAATAACAATTTATCAACGTTTATGGCGTCTAAGAGCATTAACATTAAGTGATGCTATTTCACTTCCTTCCCTCTTTTTCCTTTCTTTAGGTAACTTAATTTGAGGTTTCTTTGCTTTAGATTCTTTTATAACTTTTGGTTTTTTACTTTCAACTCTTTTATGTAATTCTTTTCTTCTAAGTTCCATTTCTTCTTTATCTCTTTGTGCATATTTTTTTAATGCATAATTATAAAAGAAATTCTCTGAATGTTTGTGGTCATAGTCTTTTACTTTAGTGTTTTTAACTTCAACTTTTTTAGTTTTAGATTCTTCTTGTTTTATCTTTTTTCTAACAACTGGTTCTTTAGATAATTGGTTATCCAAAAATTCACGGTACATATCTATCTTTCTTCTAAACGATGGTATAGGTCTTTCTACTGTGTGTTTTTCAGAAAGAATAACAGAATATTTTTGAATATCTTCATTATATTCTCCATAAATAAATTTTTGAGCTGTAATTCTTCTTTCAGTATCAATGAGTATCATTATAAGTTCATTTTCATGAGGAATTGCATTAAGTCCAAGAATCCTATAATGCATTTTTTTTTTAATAAATGGGAGTATTAATGGAAGTTTAACAAGACAAGAAGCATATTCAGTATCAAATTGTAACTTTTCAAGATTAAATTCAAATGGAACTATTATACAATAACGCTCCGTTGGAATAATACATGTTAATTTATTTTCATATAAAAAACATTCTACATCATAGTATAAGTGTTGTTTTGGAATTACATGTAGATGAGACGCAACACCAGTAAATGTCCTTGTATCCATAATAAAAAGTGATGTTTCAGTTATAATAATAACATGAAATGGAAAAGATAGATGACTTGTTAAAGCAAAAACCTTATCAGAAAATCCATATTTTATTTCAACTTCTTTTGTTAATATATTTAATATGTACATACCAAAACCTCGACAAATAATTAATTTAGGAAATAAACTGAAGGTAATTCTTGCCTCTCCATCATCTCCTTCCCTATATGGAATTATATACTCATTATCTTCTTTTGTATTTATTGAAATGAAATAAATTTTATTATTTACAGCAATAATTAAATAAATATCATCAGTACAAATTATTTGAATATCATCAATTTTATCATTAATATGAAATTCATTTATTCTTACTGGATTTTCATCTTCCATAACATATATAAATATATTACTTTCATTAGCAATACAAAATATTGGAGGTGGTGTAATATGCGTTGATGGGTTTTTCCATAGTGTTTCTTTAATAATAGCAATTTTTCTGATAATACCTCCACAAACAATACGTCCTTTTGGAGTAATCTCTCCATTAAATAAACAAAACTCTACTTCTCCTTCTTTATGAGGATAAAGAAAATATTTTTTATTTTTTACATTAATCATTTGCATTAAATTAAAATAATTATGCGTTTGGTCAATAGTATGGTTTTCTGCTAATACTCGAGATGTATAATACGGAATAGAATTAGCTAATTCTTGAACTCCAAATTGATTTGGCACTTCATATATATCTCCTTCTTTCATTACAACAGGTACTCCTGTGGCATAATACCCTTTTTTCTTTTTATATCTATTAAGACAAGGATCAAATAATAGAGCTTGGTCTGCTAAATCAATTGATGGTTCATGTGGCAATTCAAAATTGTTCCAATTCATTACACTTGTTTAAGTATTATGATTATAATTTATTTTTACTATATTTTTACTATATTTATTCATTCATTTGTTATTAACATTATCTGCTTCAGATACTATTCTTTTTATAATCCATTTTATTCTGATAAATTTTTAAGAATTTTTTGTTTCATTAATTTAAGTTTTATAAAATAATTTAATAGAAATTTTGTTTTATTAAAAAAAAAGAAAAATGTTATATATCTCAAATTATAACAAGATGAAAAATCTCAAATTCTCGAAAAGGTAGATAAGAAGTTGAAATAAAAAGAAAACATAGGAATAAAATATTTTATAAAAACAATAAGAAGAACAACCCTGCCACGTTTCATGACAGATAAGGAAGAGTCATCCTTTCAAAAAATGGAAATTAAAAAAATGAATTTTCGTCCGATTTCTAAAACGTTCCTTGAAAAATCATAAATAATTACATACTATTTCAAGAAAAGTTACAACCCTGTCTTATTTTCTTTTTCCTATTCGAAAAATAGTGGACTATTTAAACTAAGCTAAAAGTATTGTTTATTCATTCAAATCAAATAAGTAACATGTCAACACAACAAACTATGACTGTAGATGAACATATTAATCAACTTGTTGCTAAAGCACAAGTTGCACTTAAAGAATATCTTAAACCAGAATATACACAAGAAAAAATAGATTATATTGTAAAGAAAGCATCAGTTGCAGCACTTGATCAACATTGTGCACTTGCAGCAGCTGCAGTTGAAGAAACAGGAAGAGGTATTTTTGAAGATAAAGCTACTAAAAATATATTTGCATGTGAACATGTTACACATGAAATGAGACATGCTAAAACAGTTGGTATTATTAATGTAGATCCACTTTATGGAATTACAGAAATTGCAGAACCAGTTGGAGTTGTTTGTGGAGTTACACCAGTTACTAATCCAACATCAACAGCTATTTTCAAGTCACTTATTTCAATTAAAACAAGAAATCCAATTGTATTTTCATTCCATCCATCAGCACTTAAATGTTCTATTATGGCAGCTAAAATTGTTAGAGATGCAGCTATTTCAGCAGGAGCACCAGAAAATTGTATTCAATGGATTGAATTTGGAGGAATTGAAGCATCAAATAAATTAATGAATCATCCAGGAGTTGCTACTATTCTTGCTACAGGAGGAAATGCTATGGTTAAAGCAGCATATTCATCAGGAAAACCAGCACTTGGAGTAGGAGCAGGAAATGTACCAACATATATTGAAAAAACATGTAATATTAAACAAGCAGCAAATGATGTAGTTATGTCAAAATCATTTGATAATGGTATGATTTGTGCATCAGAACAAGCAGCAATTATTGATAAAGAAATTTATGATCAAGTAGTTGAAGAAATGAAAACACTTGGAGCATATTTCATTAATGAAGAAGAAAAAGCTAAATTAGAAAAGTTTATGTTTGGAGTTAATGCATATTCAGCAGATGTTAATAATGCAAGACTTAATCCAAAATGTCCAGGTATGTCACCACAATGGTTTGCTGAACAAGTTGGAATTAAAGTTCCAGAAGATTGTAATATTATTTGTGCAGTTTGTAAAGAAGTTGGACCAAATGAACCATTAACAAGAGAAAAATTATCACCAGTTCTTGCTATTCTTAAAGCAGAAAATACACAAGATGGTATTGATAAAGCTGAAGCTATGGTTGAATTTAATGGTAGAGGACATTCAGCAGCTATTCATTCGAATGATAAAGCAGTAGTTGAAAAGTATGCACTTACAATGAAAGCATGCAGAATTTTACATAATACACCATCATCACAAGGAGGAATTGGATCAATTTATAACTATATTTGGCCATCATTTACACTTGGATGTGGATCATATGGAGGAAATTCTGTATCAGCTAATGTTACATATCATAATTTATTAAATATTAAAAGACTTGCAGATAGAAGAAACAACCTTCAATGGTTCAGAGTTCCACCAAAGATTTTCTTTGAACCACATTCTATTAGATATCTTGCTGAACTTAAGGAACTTAGTAAAATATTCATTGTTTCAGATAGAATGATGTATAAATTAGGATATGTAGATAGAGTTATGGATGTATTGAAAAGAAGAAGTAATGAAGTAGAAATTGAAATTTTCATTGATGTAGAACCAGATCCATCTATTCAAACCGTTCAAAAAGGACTTGCTGTTATGAATACATTTGGACCAGATAATATTATTGCTATTGGAGGAGGATCAGCTATGGATGCAGCTAAGATTATGTGGTTACTTTATGAACATCCAGAAGCCGATTTCTTTGCAATGAAACAAAAATTCATTGATCTTAGAAAGAGAGCATTTAAATTCCCAACAATGGGTAAGAAAGCTAGATTAATTTGTATTCCAACAACATCAGGAACTGGATCAGAAGTTACACCATTTGCAGTTATTTCAGATCATGAAACAGGTAAGAAATATCCACTTGCTGATTATTCACTTACACCATCAGTTGCTATTGTTGATCCAATGTTTACTATGTCACTTCCAAAGAGAGCTATTGCTGATACTGGACTTGATGTATTGGTTCATGCAACAGAAGCATATGTTTCAGTTATGGCTAATGAATATACTGATGGACTTGCTAGAGAAGCAGTTAAATTAGTCTTTGAAAATCTTCTTAAATCATATAATGGAGATTTAGAAGCAAGAGAAAAGATGCACAATGCTGCAACAATTGCAGGTATGGCATTTGCATCAGCATTCCTTGGTATGGACCATTCCATGGCACATAAAGTTGGAGCAGCATTCCATCTTCCACATGGTAGATGTGTAGCAGTATTATTACCACATGTCATTAGATATAATGGACAAAAACCAAGAAAGCTTGCAATGTGGCCAAAATATAATTTCTATAAGGCAGACCAAAGATATATGGAACTTGCACAAATGGTTGGACTTAAATGTAATACACCAGCTGAAGGAGTTGAAGCATTTGCTAAAGCATGTGAAGAATTAATGAAAGCCACAGAGACTATTACTGGATTCAAGCAAGCAAATATTGATGAAGCAGCATGGATGAGTAAAGTACCAGAAATGGCACTTCTTGCATTTGAAGATCAATGTTCACCAGCTAATCCAAGAGTCCCAATGGTTAAGGATATGGAAAAGATTCTCAAAGCTGCATATTATCCAATTGCTTGAATAGATAATTAATTACTTTTTTATAAAATAAGGAAAAGGTTTAAGATAATTAATAAAAGTTTTTAAACAATAAAATAGATGAGAAAAAGATATACATTGATGTTTTTAATAAGAAATGAAAGAAAGTCAGTCTTACCACGTCATAAAGTTATAGAATTTCAAATTGTAATGAAGATTCAATCTATTTTCTGTTAGTAAAAAAGTTATTGTTGCATCTATTAGAATAGACTCTCATCAACAAAATAAACTATAAAGACCTTCTTTGGTATTTCTTTGTCCATCTTCATTGAGTTATAGAAATACCAAGGATGTAATTATTTAAAGGTTGGTCAATGAACTGACAAACACATTAACATAAATAATGGAACAAATAAGTATTAACTCTCCAAGAAAAAGAATTTATCATAACATTCTTGAAACTATTGGAGGTACGCCATTAGTAGAACTTCATGGAGTAACAGAACATCCAAGAATTAAGAAAGGAACACGAATTTTAGTTAAATTAGAGTATTTCAATCCAATGTCATCAGTTAAAGATCGTGTTGGATTTAATATTGTTTATCAAGCTATTAAAGATGGAAGACTAAAACCAGGAATGGAGATTATTGAAGCTACATCAGGAAATACAGGAATTGCACTTTGTCAAGCTGGAGCTGTTTTTGGGTATCGAGTTAACATTGCAATGCCATCAACAATGTCAGTTGAAAGACAAATGATTATGAAAGCATTTGGAGCCGAATTAATTCTAACTGAAGGAAAGAAAGGAATGCCAGGTGCTATTGAAGAAGTTAACAAAATGATAAAAGAAAATCCAGGAAAATATTTTGTTGCAAATCAATTTGGTAATCCAGACAATACCGCAGCACATCACTACACTGCTAATGAGATTTGGGAAGATACAGATGGAGAAGTTGACATTGTTGTTTCTGCTGTTGGAACATCAGGGACTGTTATTGGGGTTGCTGAGAAATTAAAAGAAAAGAAAAAAGGAATTAAAATAATAGCAGTTGAGCCAGAAGAATCAGCAGTGTTGGAAGGTAAAGCAAAGGGACCACATGGAATTCAAGGAATTGGAGCAGGTTTTATTCCAGATATTTATAAGAAAGAATTTGTTGATGAAATAATACCAATTAAAACACAAGATGCATGGAAAATGGCAAGAGCAGTAGTTAAATATGATGGAATTATGTGTGGAATGTCAAGTGGTGCAGCAATTTTAGCAGGATTAAAAGAAGCAGAAAAACCAGAAAATGAAGGAAAAACAATAGTTATTATTGTACCATCATGTGGAGAACGATATTTGTCAACAGACTTATATAAGATTAAAGATGAAGGTACAAAAATACAAATTCTTGATTCATTATTGAATGAATAATTTGAATTGAACTCTTCTTTTTTAAACTTAAAATGTTTTTTTTAAATAAAAAGTCACTTTATATTTTTTTCTCTTCTTCTTTCATTGAATATGTAAATATCTTGTTATGCTTTGTAACATCTTCTTGCATTCATTATCACTACACACTTCTTTCATCGTTCCTATCAATTTTGGTATATTCCCATTATTCATTTCTCCTATAAACTCAGGTGATTTTATTGCACTTTGATTATGTATAATATCATATATTGTATTGGTTATATAATTAATTAATTGTGGCATTTTACTGAAGAATTTATCACTTACTGATATGTATATTAATTGAATTGTAATTTTAACAAATGGAATTACATCATCAATAACATAATTCTGATATATTGTAAAATATACATAAAATGCTGCTGTACGAAGTTCACTTATGGCTCTAATTATTTCATCTTCTTCTTCACTTTGTACTGTATTTACTCCACTCAATATTTCAACAACAGTTGGAACTGCTATCTGACTTTCTTTAGGACATGTTGCTATGATGTCTCCAATAACTTGGATAATCCCTGTTTTATCCCCAAATGTTAAATATGGCTTTTTAAATATTCGGAGAATCAACTCTAAATAATTCCTTGCATATTGTTCAAACTCTTTTTGTATTGTTATACTAATATCACCTACAAGTTCACATAACAATTTGTATATATTTGGTGGTAATTCCGTATTTAACCATTCTACAGTTTTTGGAATTAATGGAAGACAATACGGTGCAAAGCTTGCTTCAAGTGAATAACACAATGATCCTATTAACATCAACGATGGTTCTGGTGTCATTGGAAATGCCTTAATTGCAATGCCAAATAATGAATCACAGATTGGTTTATTTGAAAGTAATGTTGAAATCACTTCATTTCCTGATGTTCCATTCTTTGTTGCACTTACACAACTATCTAAGAATAAGATAGAATAACCTAAAAGATCTGATGAATTAAATAATTGTGTAGACATACAATCACTTAAAATAAATCGAATAATTGTAATTGGTATTTTATTAGAATATTAAATAAAACAATAACAAAGACTTATTAATGTTCAAGTCATAAACTTTATATCCCTTTAAAATTACTTTTCAAGATAGATTGTAGTGATGTAATATTGAAGTGATTCATTACTGTGTTTATTTTTATTCTTTTTCATTAATAAGAAAGTTTTTCGAAAGTTAGAGTAATTTATAAGTGTTTATTGTTACCTTAGTTGGAGTTGTTAAAGAATGATAATAAAATTCTTCTTATGTTCAGAAAAAAAAAAAAAAAAAAAAAGAAATCAATTATGATTAACCTTATTTTTTAGGTTTTTCATCATGTTGAGAAGTGAGCGAATCAGTTTCTTCAACACGCTTTATTTCTATTGAAATAAAGTTTTTGCAAGCATGCTCGACTTAAATGGTTCCTCAATTAAGTTGCTGCCTGACTTTTATTTTGATTTTAATGAGTAATATAATATTTCTCATTCTTTATATTGTTGTTTTAAGGAGAGTATATCCATAACTTACTGTTATAGCTCATCTCCTTTTACCTTCGACACCCCTTAAAGAAACCCTATTCCTTGATAATATCATTATGTTTAATTTTTGTGCAACAATATCAATTATATATGCGTCTTCTTTAATAAATGATAATTCTTAATACATAATACCTCCTTAGTAAATAATAATCCTTATAATTAATAATGAATAACAATACACGTTAATGAATAACAATACACGTTAATGAACAACAATACACGTTAATGAATAATAATCTTTTATAATAATCACTTCTAATAAATATTAATAATAATAAACAGTTAGTGTTGAATAGATATTATCTCACCAAAGGCACGTCATGACCAGACGATAACTGGGAGATTCGAAGCATGGGATTATTTTAGGGTTTCATGTGGTGTCTCTGACGTGCCATCTTCGAATCCCTTCTTATGTTCAGAAAAAAATGTAAAATTCATAAATATTAAAATATGGATAAATTAAAATAACATTTATGATATTTTACTGAAACTTCATTTTAAAAACAAAACTTTGTGTTTTTGTAAAAGTATTTAAAAATAAATTTAAGATGAAAGAACCGAAAATGAAATTGATTTTTAATAAACACCAACAAACGAATACACAATATTCATAGAATTGTTTGTTTATTGGAGAGGATTCACAGGAGGAGGTAATGTGTCTTGTTGTGATTGATTTGGTACAATCACAGATGTATCTTGAATTGATTGAGACTCATGGTGTTCATCAGATTTTCTAACTTGAATGTTTTGTTGAGATGGTTTTCTTTTAATACCCATCTTTTTTATTGTTTTAGATAAATAACTGACTGAAATACCATAACCTCCATCCTTTAATCTATCTTTCATTGTTTTAAGAGTAATTCCATCATTGTCATGTAATATACTTTGGATTTTTTCTTGTAAGTCTGTATTTTCTGACTTTTTACGACCTCTTTTTTTGAGAACACTACTTGTTTCATCAATTAATGGTTTATCATCTTCAATTTTTGAAATACACTTTTTAATAGTTCCTTTGGTAAGATCAGTCAAAATTGAGATTTCTTTGGCTTTATATCCTCTCCTTCTCATATTTTTAATAATTCTCATCATATCTTCACTTACTCTATCTTTTCTTCTCACAACCTTAGGTTGGAATATTTCTCTTTGACTATCTTCTTCAGATTTTTTAATTTCTTTTTTTTCTGTCTCTCCATTTGTTGATGGAGGTAATGAGTGTTGTAAAACATCTTCAGTGTGGATTTGTGATATAGAGTAGTCTTCCATTACTATACTTAAATTTTAGAGTTATTCTTCAAATTTCTTCATTTTTTCCTTTCAACTCGGTTGGATTGTTTTAAGGGTTTTGTTTTTTCTTTTTTCTTTCTCTTAATCAATTAACTTCCTACACTGTATTTTCCTAGCAGTTTATCTAAGTTTTTTTCATTTTATATGGAAAATAATTCTTCTCTTTTTAAACCCCTTCTTTTCTTTTTCCAAAATATATTTATTTCTTAGAAGAAAGTGTATTTCTTAGTAGAATGGTTATTGATAGAATTACTAAGTTTAGTCTAATCATTATAAATTGGTTGGCACTTATTTATAAAACACAGTTCATCTCATATCCAAGAATAGTTTAACAATACCAGTCTAATTTTATGACATACAAAAACAAAATGTGTGTTTGGAGAATGTTACTTCTAATATTTATTGTTTAATTTACAAAGCTTTTTCAATTATTGTTTAAATTTTGTTTTTATGAATGATTAGAATAGACATTATTAAGATATACACATTAAAAGAATAGATAAAGAGATTTGTTTTGTAACAGTTTGAACAAGAATTATTAATGTTTCTACTACTTTTAAGTTGTTTAGTACTTCCAATTTAAAGAATGTCTAATAATAAATAGAATATAAAAAAAGAAGAGAATTAGTCAAGAGAAATTAATTTTTCTTAAGATTGTATTAATCTAATACAGTTGTTAATAATATTTTTTTTGTCCCCAAATTTGAATTTTTTTATTTGTATTTGGAACACTTTATCTTAAAAGAGTGTTTTAATGTCATAAGCAGCAAAAAACATTGATTTTAATTAAAACAGTTAAAAGAAGTAAGAAATAAACTATTTTAAAATTTCATTAAAAGAAATTTAGTTTAAATTAAACGTTGAATAAATATTCTTCAAACTCTAATTTAATAAATAGTATTTAATTGAGAAATGATAGATTTAAGAAATCTAATTTAAAGACTTTTTAAAAATAGAATATGAAGGATTTTTTAAAAAAATAAACAATTCAAGGAAAAACAAAGAACCAAAATAGTACAGTATCTTTCAATTGATAAAAGATTATATCCTACTTAGACTTAGATATTTATATTATTATTCAGTAAATATAAATTTATATTAAATTACGTTAGATTGATTTTTTGATGACCAAAAAACAATAACAAAATAAGTCAATTTATGTTTTTGAAAGAAATATTAATTAATTATTTCTTCATTGTTTCAAGTTGTTCAATGAATTTTGAAGAATTTAACAAATCAGATCCTCCAATAATAAATTTTTGAGTAGGATTAGTTCTATTTCTTGTAGCAATACTAACTTCTTCTTCTAATGTAACACCACCTACAATGTATATAATAAATTCTCTTCCATTAGCACTACTTCCTCTACAAAATGGGAATTTTTCTAATAGTTGTTGGTTAATTAATGGATCATATAGTTGTTCTAATACTGGTTTATGTTGAACAAATACATTTTCAACTCCAGCAACACTTTTCTTAACAAATCCAACAATTGATTTAACTTTATTAAAAATTTCAATTGGACGTTTAGAACTTCCAGCATATCTTAATACAATATCAATTAATTGAATTCGGTCTTTTGGAATTCCTTTAATTGTTAATTCTTCAATGATGTCTTGTGCCTTATCTTCATATTTTAAAGCATATAATAGTCCAACTCTTAATTTATCTTCTACTTCATAATCTCCTTCAAAAAATTGAATAACATTTTGATAAAGTTCTTGTCTTCCTGACCCACAAACAATGTCTTGTTCAAGACGAGAAACATCAAGCATTTTTCTTCTACTTACTGTTTTGTTTATAACATTCATAATTCCAAGATGTTTCTTTACTCCTGCAGATTCTTTTTTTAATTGTGGTATTTGTTCAATTGTTTCTTTCATTTCTTCTAATGATCGATATTGTTTACTTGCTACACCTGCTTTTTTAGTTAATTCATTTACAGAAGCTATAATAGAATCAGTAATATCACTAAATAATAAATACATATGTTCATTAAAGAAAGAGTCATTTGAAAGAATAATTGGTTTATTGTCTAATATTATTTTACCATTTTCAATCCCTATAAACTCATGAATCATTGCTTGGTATGTCCATTGTGTTAAAAGTGGTGTAATTGGATCAAATGAACGATCAAGGATAAGAAGCGTAGTACCATTCATTGGTCCAAATATTTTCTTTTGTCTTTCTAATCCTTGAGTAAGTCCTTCAGCAATACGTTTACTTAACTCACTATTTTGTTGATATCTAATTGCTGGATTCTTCTTTAATGAAAGACAAAGAGCCATAAGAGAATCAATAGTTTTTTGTTCATTTTTCATTGAATTTGGTCCATTTACTGAATAATAATTAGGACATGATGAAATAAATAAATCATCATTAACTGGCATATAGTCAACATATAATTCCATTACTTTTTGAACAACTTCATGTACATCAGATTGACTTAATAATGATATTTGAGTTGAGTCAAGAAAATTAGTAAAAAACAAATAATATTTTCCATATTTTGGATTATTTAGTTCTTTTCTTAATAACTCCATATTTTCTTTTGTTGGTCGAAGTAAACAAATAGCATTAAGATGTGGTAATGTGTCTCGTGTTTGGTCACTTAATTGTTGAACTAAATATACTTCTTTCTGAATAATTTCAGTCATTCCAAATAAAATAGAAACAACAGGAATAGTATCTGAGTCCATAATCAATGCTTTCATTCCAGGTGTTTCACTAAATGTAAAATTTAAATATTCTTGAAGAGCATGAATAACATTCATTTCTTTTGATTTTGATTAAGTTCTTTTTGTTTTTTTTTTAAATTTTACTTTGTTTTTGTTATTTTATCAATTTTGTGTTATTTGAAATTATAAAAATTATAAGAAAAACAATTATAATTAATTACTTTTCATTAAACAATAAAAAAGAAGAACTTTCATTGACTAATGTCTTTTAGGAAAATTGGTGATACTGAAGAAGGTTTGAGGTCAAAAAGAAATGAAAGGATTGATGATAGAAGAAAGAAAAGAGAACAGTTAATGGAACAAAGAAGAAAGGAAGAAAGTGTGTTAATGAGTCAACAACAAAAAGCAGCAGAAGAAAAAATACAACAAGAAAGAAATAAATTTTTAAGAGAAAAGTATAGAGAATTAGAAGAACGAATTCATCAAGAAATAATAGTTTTAAGTAATACTCCTAATGAAGATAAAATGTATAACTTAGTAGTTATGATTGCATCTGAAAGTTTGAAGAATAAAGAATTACATATTGTTTTGTCTTCAAGAATAATACCAGAATTGATTAATAACATATTTATGTATTTAAACAAACCATTATTAGACACAGTTATAGTAAATCAAGAGCGATTATTTAGTGTTTATGGACAGCTTCTAAATATTATATCTGATATTGACATTGAAACATTAAAAAGTTTTGAGAAATATGGATTAATTGAATCAACTTTTAAGTTGTTGGATAGAAGAGATGAAGTAATTAGTGTTATATTAGATCTCATTACAAAATTATGTACATCTCGCTACTTTTCAAAATTATATCTTGAGAAAGGAATCTTACAAAAATTAGTAGAAATTCTTGCTACAACAGACAACCAATTATGTATGTGTCAACACACAGCAGCAATATTTGCTACTTTATCTAAACAGTATTGTTTCAGTCATAATTATATAATACAATATATTCCTTTATTCTCTAAATTATTTTCTATCGATGATGAATCTGTATTAATTGAATGTGTTTCTGCTGCAACTTCATTATACAATGATTCAGATTTTATTGATGAATTAAAGCCTGTTAAAATTGAACAAAAAATATTAGAAATTCTTGATAAAACACAAAATGAAAGTTTAATTGATATATGTTTCCAATGTTTAGGAAAGTACTGTTACTTTAAAGATGATATATTATTACAACCACAAATTATTTCTGCTATTGTAAGTAAATTATCTATGACAGATAAAACTATATTAAGAAGAGGATATTGGATGCTTTCTAATATCTCAGTTAGTAAATTTCCTGAAACTACTAAAGCAATTATTAATAGTGGTGCTTTTCTTTCTTCGTGTTGTACAATATTAGAAACAAATGATGTGAAAATTAAAAGTGAGGCTTGTTGGTTATTAGCTAATACAATATTTAAAATTAATGACTCAATGTATAGTTTAATAAAAAGTGATATTGTTTATGCAGCAATTCCTGCTTGTTTATCATTTCATGATAATAATTTCTGTTCAATTTTATTACAAGGAGTTACTAAGTTTATTGTTTATGATAATACTCTTCCTGAACCACAAGTGGCTGATGGTTTAATTTCTCATCATTTTGATGAAAGTCTTATTCCACTTATGTCATCTTCTGTTAGAAATATATCTAATTTAGCGATCACGTTGAACCATTTATTAGAACATAATTTCCAACAAGATTTATAATTGAATATTATCTCTTCTGGTTTTTTTTTTCATCTAATCTTAAATGTTTTTTACTTTACTTATTCTGGATGAATAAAAATTCACATAAAATAATACTTCCATAAATATTTAATCTTTTTTTTTTATATCTAAAAACATACTATCTTCGTTTTTGTTATAGAATAATTTATATTCAAAAAACAAGAATTTAAAATTTAGAGTTAAACAGTTTGTGTTATGCAATTTTGTTATTTTTTTTACAAGAATAAAGAAATATATTAAAACAAGAAGAAATGGGGAGTTATTATCATTAACAGAATTTTTAATAGATTTAAGTAAATTATGACAAATTTCGTATTGATATTTTTAGTATTTTGATTATAAATACTTCTTTTCTTTATGTTTCATATTTTTTAAATTTGTTTTTGAGTAGTAAAAAATTGATAATAACATGATTTTTATGAAATGAAATTCATAAGAAAGATGTTAAATTTGTTGTTGAAATACTGGTTTTAGATGATACACATTTCACACAGACTTTTCGATTCCATCAATAATCAT